CAAAAGTGATGGAGCAAGTGGGCTTCTGCTCCCTGATGATGCATACCTTGCGCCTGGCCTCGCGAGCTAGCTCCTTCCTCTTGTTTCCGGACTGGCCCCCGCTCGGACCTCCGAAAATAGTATTGATGACCGCAGGTCGGTCCTCTCGTCGAGGCGGCGTTCTTGAACGGTTCCTCTCTTCTTTCTTTTCGACCGAGTTAGACCTCGGTTTACCCACAAATTTTTTGAAGTAGCCGTCTTGAATGAGGTCTTCAATCTGGCGTTTTAACTCCCAGCAACTTGACATATTGTGGCCGTGATCGCGATGAAAACGGCAGTACTTATCTTTGTTGCGCTTTTCTGGATCTCCTCGAAGCTTCTCAGGTCGCTTGAGGAGCTTTTCCATCCCAGTTTCCTCAATATTTGTAAGTATTTCAGAGATTGGGATGGTGGTCGGGGTATAACRTTCGTAAGGTCGGCTTCGATTGGGGCCRCCGTCCGACCTGCGATACTCAATTCGGCTAYTGGAGGAGGATTGTCCCTTATCCTTGGACTTGACATCAAGCCTCCTCGTTTCCTGGTTCAATTTCTTCTGGTCGATCTGCTTTTCAGGTCGGCCAGTTTTGGTTCGGAAGAGCTCCTGTCCATCAATGACTTTTTTCGCCTTCTGCAGGACTTCGACGAAGGTGGCTGGAGCCTCCTCTCCAAGTTTTACTGTTAAGGTCTCATCGGCCAGGCCGGTGAGGAAGTAGCACATGGCCGAATCATCGGAGCAGTGCGCGACCTTCAACTGCTCCTCCTGGAACCTCGTGACATAYTCTCTCAGCGTCTCTCCTTCCTTCTGCCTGATAGTGGCGAGATGAGTCGCTGTCTTTCTGTCATAATGCCGAGAAGAGAACTGACTGATGAACTCCTTTCTCAGCTGAGAGTAGGTCGAGATCGACCTAGCCGGCAGTCTTCGATACCACAGGCGCGCGCTACCGGTGAGCGCGATCTGGAAGACGCGGCACTTGATTGCATCTGTTGCCGCTTGAAAGTCCATGAGGCCTTCGAAGACCTCAACATAGTCTTTAGGGTCCTTAGACCCATCATAAGGCTTCATTGTGGGAGTTTTGAACTTCGGAGGGATTGGAGCCTCCAGGATGTCCGGGGTGAATGGCGATTCTCC